CTAAGTCAGACAGGCAATGAAAAGGGCGTATTTTCAATCCTTTTCGAATTTTGAAACCTCTTCATATCGAGGCGTTGGAGAAGCAGAGACGAAATATTTGGCGGGCATCTCTTCCATAACTCGCGGGAAAATACATCAACTGTGAAATATGTGACACGAGGAATAAATCCGACATAAAGCTTCCAAAAGGCCGATAAAATTACGGATTTTCACCCTTTCTTCCGGATATTCTAACACTGGGGTTACCGAAGTGGAATATTTGGAGGGTTATCTCATCCATAACTAGCGGGAAAATAAAAACAAACTGTGGGAGTGAGTGACAGCCTCGCCAATCGAGTATCTGGCCATATTTAGAAGGCGGATGCTAAATGATGTCAGTGTTTGTTCGGTCCTCCGTTATAAACAAGACACCTGACAATAGTACAGTTACAGGTACAGTTACAGGTATAAACACAGGAAAAGTTACAAGTAAAAGCACAGACAGAAATACAAATACAGAAACACATGTATGGGTAAAAGTAAAATTACAGGTAAAATTACAGGTAAATATACGTCTAAGGTAAAGGTACAAGTGGGAATACAGGTAAAAATACTACTACCTCAACAACAACCACCACTACAACCACAACCACAACCACAACCACAACCACTACTACCACCACCACCACCACCACCACCACCACCACCACCAAAACCACCACCACTACCACCAGCACCACCAGCACCACCACCAAAACCACCACCACTACCACCACCACCACCAGCACCACCATTATTTAAGACTGGTACCATCGAAGGCCTTGCCATAACTCCCCGGCGAGACCATTACTCAGCAGCCATCCACTAAGTTTAAGAAAGCCATTACTTTAACACATTAATTCTCACCAACTCAATAACGTACGACTCTCTGTTAAATATTCCGAGAGAGAGAGATGGATGGATGGATGGACAAATATATGGTAGCCAGACAGATAGATAGATAGACAACAATCCAATGAAAGAAAATCCGTGAACTTTTGACACACACACACACAAACCAAGTCACCTCATCCCGTTTTCTATGCATCGTCTTCTCTCCTTCACCGCCAACTTACTTATTCCTTCGCATCTAAATTTCAACCTATTTTGGCTTTACTTCCTCCGTCTTGCCTCTCACTCATTCCTTCCTCCTCTCATACATATTCATCCTCACTGAGAGAAGAAGAAAGAGATGAAGAAGAAAGAGATGAAGAAGAAAGAGATGAAGAAGAAGAATTAGATTTGCATATTGACTTCAGATTTCAAGATATTGCTTTCCTTATCTTCTCTCTCTCTCTCTCTCTCTCTCTCTCTCTCTCTCTCTCTCTCTCTCTCTCTCTAAAATTCTTCAACTAATTAAAATAAAGTCCTTGTATTGTATATTTCACGAATTTTAGTCACTGAAACAATATTACATTAATATTATACAAGTAACAGTCCTGCCAACAGCAGTAACAGCCTGCCAACAGCAGCAACAGCCTGACAACAGCAGTAACAGCCTGACAACAGCAGTAACAGCCTGACAACAGCAGTAACAGCCCGGCAAAAAAAAACATTAATGACCTGACAAAGCAGTAACAGCCTTGCCAGCAACGGTAACAACCTGACCGTAGTAACAGCCTTGCCAACAGCAGTAACAGCCTGACAACAGCAGTAACAGCCCTGACAACAACGGTAACAGTCCTGCCAACAGCGGTAACAGCCTGACAACAGCAGTAACAGCCTGACAACAACAGTAACAGCCTGACAGCAACGGTAACAGCCTTGCCAACAGCAGTAACAGGCTGACAACAACAGTAACAGCCTTGCCAGCAGCGGTAACAGCCTGACAGCAGCAGTAACGGCTGACAACAGCAGTAACGGCCTGACAACGGCAGTAACAGCCTGACAACAGCAGTAACAGCCCTGACAGCTTAGCAGTAACAGCCTGACAAAAACCGGTAACAGCCTGACAAAGCAGTAACAGCCTTGCCAACGTCAGTGACAGCCTGACAACAGCAGTAACAGCCTTGCCAACAGCAGTAACAGCCTTGCCAGCAGCAGTAACAATACAAACAACAGCAGTAACAGCCTTGCCAGCAGCAGTAACAGCCTGACAAAAGCAGTAACAGCCTTGCCAACAGCAGTAACAGCCTTGCCAACAGCAGTAACAGCCTGACAAAAGCAGTAACAGCCTGACAACAGCAGTAACAGCCTTGCCAACAGCAGTAACAGCCCTGACAACAGCAGTAACAGCCCTGACAACAGCAGGCACAGCGTCGACCCTGGGTGACACAAATAAGTCATGATACATCACGGCCAAAACTTTCTTCATCAATTCTGCGAGACGCCATCACTGTGTCCTCCCTTTGTCTCCCTGTCTCCCTTTATCTCTCTGACCTTCCTCTATTCTTCCTTATTCTCCCTTTCCTCATTTTCCACTTTCTCTTTCTCTGGCCATTCTTTATTATTCTCTCTCTCTCTCTCTCTCTCTCTCTCTCACAATTTACTTACGACCCTATTAACTCTCACTAAGTTCCTTCTCTCTTCTCTCAATCCCTCTCACCCCTCAGCATCAATCCCCCCCCTCAGCATCATCCCTCTCACCCCTCAGCATCATCTCTCTCACCCACTATCCCTCTCACTATCCTCATCATCCCTCTCACTCTCCTCATTATCCCTCTCATTCTCCTCATCATCCCTCTCACCATCAATATCACCATCCCTCTCACTCTCATC